TTGTTCTGTAGTTTCCACATTCTGTCGGGTCACCTTTCTTTGGGATAGGAACAAATATAGATCACGTAAGTGTGAGTCACCATGAGTAAGGTTTTTAAAATTAAGTTAGTTGGAATATACAATTGTCCAGTGCTCTAATAATATTCACTCCTAATTTTTGCTGTTTCAGTTTATCTGTGGAAAATCTTGGTTGTTTAATGCCATTTGCTGAAATTATTACTCCTGTCACTTATTTTCTACAATATTTACCTTTACTATTTTTCTACAATTGTAACTGGGGGTGAGGGGGGGAGATATCTGAGGTAACCTATCACTAAACTCACCTACCAGTATTTAAACCCAATTACTCAATTCCTACTTTTGTTTCTAGAAAAGGTGAGAATCTGGCTTTTCTTTTCTTTCATTGTTAATGTTGTTGTTAGGTTTTGTCACTTTGGCTTTTATTCACAACAATAAAGCAAAACCATGCCCAATATTGTGCTGTCTTCACAATTTCAGCTGGGCACAAAACCATTGTTATAGTCACTTTTCCACAGAAAAGAACATTTTTTATTTTATATTATCTGTTGGTTTCTATTATCCTGGCCATTAATACAGTTAATTGAGACCTACTCACACTTGAACTTTTAATTTAATTTTTTTAAATAATCAGAAAGATTAATTCTTGTTACAGGGAAACTTATAAAAACTAAGAGTAAGTAAATGCTTAGTTTGGAGCTATGATTTTTTTTTTCATTGCTTATTAGAGCTCTGGTGGCTTAGACCATAGAAAACTGTACTACTAACTCCAAAGCCACATCTCTTTGGTGGGAGAAAATGACATGATATTGACAGCCTCAGAATCTAATGTACAGACAGCTATGAGTAAGTTCCAACTCAACAACAATGAGTGAATGCCTATCAGGTATTATTCCTGTATCTATGTAGAAAATGAACAACGAGAAGGCCACAGTCTCTTCTTGTTGGAGTAAACTGTGTCATGATTGTACTCAGAAAAGCATTAAAGAAAAGAGATATTTTCACAACTGAAGAAGAATCTGATCATAGTTTTAACTATTATTGGAATAATAATTTCTTAGAATGGACTTAAACAGATTCTTAGAAATAAACAGAACAAGCATAATAAAGTTGAGCTTGTAAATCTTCCAAACTATTAACACTCATCATGACATGAAAGTTTGCAATGTCTTACCAGGAATCTTTCCAATAAATAATAGATGCTTTTCTTTCTGGGAAGTTTTATATGTGAATGATCCCAGTTGAAGGGCCATAATACCCAAGAAACAAATGACCACCCAAAGGTACACTTCTAGCTTACTATTTGGAGAGAGTTGTCTGCAAAATCACTCTCAGGTTCAGTTCTTTGCCACAAAGCTTATGGGAACAGCATATATTCAATGCTGTTGTGTACCATTGAGTTGAAACTCATAGATGACTCTCCAGCAGTTTTCAGAGACTACAAATACAAAAGAGATTACCCAACTTTCTCCCATGAAGCAGCTGGTGGATTCAAACCATATGCTTTTGGGTTGGCAGTGCAATTCTTTACCACTAAGTCACCAGAATTACTGTTTGTGCTCACATGTAAGGTTTAGTACAGAGAAAGCTGTAAAACGTGATAAACAAGGAGAGGAGGAAAAAGCCAAAATGAAGTCTGAGGACATCCAGGTGCAGACTTCCAAAACTCTCTCCTTTCTCTGAGTGGATACATTGAGCATGCTTCTTTCTTTAACTGAAAAATGTGCAGTAATGTATGTGCAATGTTCTTGCTCAAGGAAAGCCATCAGAGGCTCAAAACCCAAGATTTTGATGAAAAACCAAGATTTTGTCAAAATGCTTACTCATGTAGGCATTCTTTGGCAATTATCAAAATTCCAGACTCTCAGAATAAAGCAGGTATTTGCCATATATTATGTTATTTGTCAAACTAGAGATAGTAATTCATAATTACCACTTAAGAATGACAAAAACACTCTGAAAGCCAAGTTCCAAGACACTAGCTAACCTTATAAACTGATCATTCTAAACATACATGTTTCAGATTTACTGTATTAATGCTTTTCTGCAAAATGTTCTTTAAAACATAATCAGAATATACATTATAAGAAATAGAAAGGTTCACATTTATAGCTCTCTATAAGTACACTAAGGTGCTCCTGATACAGGCCATGGCCTTTGCAATCACTTGCTATGCATCAGAGAGCTGGACAATGACTAGGGAGGATAAAAGGAAAATTGACGCCTTCGAGCTGTGGTGCTGAGAAGAGTATTGAATGTACCATGGACTGCTAAGAAAATGAACAAGTTCATCCTGGAGAGGGTTAAACCAGGCTGCTCCTTGGAGGCAAGGATTCTGAGGCTTCATCTGACATATTTTGGACATGTTGCAAGGAGGGGCCAGTCCTTGAAGAGGGACATCATGCTTGGAAGGTGGAGGGACAGCACAGGAGGGGAAGACCCTCTATGAGGTGGATTGATTCAGTGACTGGGGTAATTGGGATGGGTGTGTCAGAGACAGTGAGATTAGCACAGGACAGGGCAGGGTGTAGGGCTATTGTACATTGGATCGCTATGAGTCACAAGCCACTCACTGACACATAACAACAACAACAAGTACATAAGACTTTAAAAGTGGAATTAATTTTAGACACTAGCTTGAGAATTCTTACTAACAATTATCATTATTGCATAAATATAACTGTTGCTAATAGTAACTGTTACAAGTTTTCATATGAGTAATAATTAGCAGTAAAAGCATTGATTTGTTATTATTATATTATTTCCATTTAATATTCCTATTAATATGCCACTTGATGATCTAATACAACCTTAGAAAGATTTTATTTAACCTGCTTAAATTGCAAAAACTTAAGAAGGTTCTGTGGTTCTTTATTATATTTTCTTCTAACCCTTCGCCTTCATTAACAGGTCAGCCTTTCTACACCTGGCAGGAATCAACCATGGATATCAGGCGCGTGAAGGAATATCTCTCGTGGATCTACTATCAATATCAAATCATTAGTTGCTGTTCTGTCCTGGAGCCCTGGGAGCGATCGATGTTCAATACTATTTTATTATGTATTTTTGCCATGGTAGTGTACACTGCCTATGTCTTTATACCAATCCACATTCGTTTGGCTTGGGAATTCTT